ATATAATATATATATATATATTAATATCAAATTACACGTAGACTGATACTGATTAAATATATATATAATTATTGTTATATATATATTTATATATAATATAAAAAAAATAAAAATGTAAATACGTTAAAAAATAAAATTAAAACAATAATTAAAAATAAATAATTAAAAAATATATAGATGTGTGTTATTTCGTTCTGTTTTGTGAAATATATATATATATATATATATATCAAAATACACGTAGAACGAAATAATATATATATCTATATACATAAATATATACGTATATATCACTATATATATACCTATATATAAATAAAAATATTTAAAAAAAATTATATAGATATATACATATATATACACATACGTATATATATACATATATTAATTCTACATATATATTTATGTAATATTTTTACATAATTAGGTATCTTAATTAATTACAATTAGCGGGACCTGCCTGACAACCCATGCCGAAAGTAAAGGGAATTTAATTTGCTAGCACTATATTTAACCCTATAACTTTCCAAGACACCATAAAACCTGTACATGGGGGGTACTGTTCTACTCGGGAGACTTCGCTGAACACAAATATTAGTGTTTCAAAACAGTAAAATGTATTACAACGATGATATCGCCAGTAAAAGTGAAGTTTTTTGCATTTTTCACGCACAAACAGCATTACACGGACAATATTATTGCTGTGATACATTTACTGTTTTGAAACACAAATATTTGTGTTCAGCGAAGTCTCCCGAGTACAACAGTACCCCTCATGTACAGGTTTTATGGTGTTTTCAAAAGTTACAGCGTCAAATATAAGGCTTGCGTTTCAGTTTTTTCACATTAAAATTCGCCAGATTGGTTACGTTGCCTTTGAAACCCTATGGTAGCCCAAGAATGAAAATTACCCCTATGATGGCATACCATTTGCAATAGTAGACAACCCAAGGTATTGCAAACGGGGTATGTCCAGTCTTTTTTAGTAGCCACTTAGTCACAAACACTGGCCAAAATTGGCGTTTTTTGCATTTTTCACACACAAACAAATACTAACGCTAACTTTGGCCAGTGTTTGTGACCAAATGGCTACTAAAAAAGACTGGACATACCCCATTTGCAATACCTTGGGTTGTCTACTATTGCAAATGGTATGCCATTATGGGTGTAAATTTCATTCCTGGGCTACTATACAGTCTCAAAGGCAACGTAACCAATCTGGCGAATTTCAATTTCAAATGTAACGTGCTATATTTGACCCTGTAACTTCCCAAAACGCCATAAAACCTGTACATAGGGGGTACTGTCTTACACGTGAGACTTTACTAAATACAAATATGTGTATTTTATTGCAGTAAAATCAAACAGTATTATGACACTGACCTTTAAAATGCAATTTAGAACTAAAAAAATCAAAAAATCGTATTTTCTCCCATTTTTTTCATATTAAATTATGTTTCATAGCTAAATATTTGATATTAAATGAAAGCCCTGTTTCCCCTGAATAAAATGATATATAATAAGGGTGGGTGCATTTACTATGAAAGAGGTGTATTACGGTTGGACAGACATGTAGCGCAAATGCCAGGTTTTGTTTACATTTTGTTTTGTTCACAATGTGTACATTTGGCTCCGTCCTTAAGGGGTTAATGTTATCTCACATATATATTATTCTTATTCTAGCCAAATTTACCACCCTAACTCCTCCCACAGTTTTTACACTACATAGACAGTAATATACCGAAACGTGCAGATTGTTCCCGATTGGATTGCTATTACTGTGTGGACCGTTTCGCCGAATGGTTCATGGAATATCGTTGTTCTTGTGGCAAAATTGGTCACATAGGAATGAATGGCAAAATGTTCAAAACTAGAGTGGGAGCTGGCAAAAGCAGAAAAATTGGGACATGATTTCTAAACTGCCACCACTCCCTCATTTTCAAGACCACCTACACAAATCTTATATCAAAACGTTCAGCTATCCCTGCTGCCACTAAAAATGTCCATGGCTAAGCCATAGTCCTGATAGTTTTCATAATATGACCATTTGTTTGCAACTCACGCCATCCATTGAAACTCCAGCCAGCTCAAATTTGAAGGGCAATTTCTAAACTGCGACTGTGCCTTCATTTAAAATATTTCAGAGACATACTATGTATTAATGTAGGTCTGGGTCTTGTGATTCTCACAATATAAAGCTCTTCGCTGTAGGACTTATAGTTTTTAAAATACGACGTTTGAAGATGGCAACCGCCAAAATACTCTGACCTGTAATTGTACGCCCTCCGGTTTTCGCCTACTTACCCGGTTGATCACGGTGGGGGTGGAATCCCAGGGAGCCCCCCGCGGCACGTCCGTCCTCGTCGAAGCCCCCCGGCCATGTGAGAGTGGGGTCCTAGCGAGGACCCCACAATCACATGGCCGGGGATAGCTGGCTTCTGTATTGCCAGCAGGGGGGCTGCCTGTAATTACAGGTGGTCCCCCTGCTGGCTGGAAATAAAATGAAAATAAAATGTAATAGTGTAAAAAAAAATATATATATACTTAGATCATATATATATATATATATATATATATATATATATATACACATATACATACACACACGTACACCGTCTAGGTGTATTTTACTATTATATATATATATTATATATATATATTAATATCAAATTACACGTAGACTGATACTGGTTAAATATATATATAATTATTGTTATATATATTTATATATAATATAAAAAAATTAAATATGTAAATACGTTAAAAAATAAAATTAAAAAAATAATTTAAAAAAATTAATTAAAAAAAAATATAGATGTGTGTTATTTCATTCTAACTGTATTGTGATATTAATATATATATATTTATATCAAAATACACGTAGAACGAAATATATATATCTACATACATAAATATATACGTATATATCACTATATATATACCTATATATAAATAAAAATATTTAAAAAAAATTATATAGATATACACATAGATTCACATATGTATATATATATACATATATTAATTCTACATATATATTTATGTAATATTTTTACATAATTAGGTATCTTAATTAATTACAATTAGCGGGACCTGCATGACAACCCATGCCGAAAGTAAAGGGAATTGAATTGGCTAGCACTATATTTAACCCTATAACTTTCCAAGACACCATAAAACCTGTACATGGGGGGTACTGTTCTACTTGGGAGACTTCGCTGAACACAAATATATGTGTTTCAAAACAGTAAAATGTATTACAACGATGATATCGCCAGTAAAAGTGACTTTTTTTGCATTTTTCATGCACAAACAGCACTTACACGGACGATATTATTGCTGTGATACTTTTTACTGTTTTGAAACACAAATATTTGTGTTCAGCGAAGTCTCCCGAGTACAACAGTACCCCTCATGTACAGGTTTTATGGTGTTTTCAAAAGTTACAGCGTCAAATATAAGGCTTGCGTTTCATTTTTTCACATTAAAATTCGCCAGATTGGTTACGGTGCCTTTGAGACCCTATGGTAGCCCAAGAATGAAAATTACCCCTATGATGGCATACCATTTGCAATAGTAGACAACCCAAGGTATTGCAAACGGGGTATGTCCAGTCTTTTTTAGTAGCCACTTAGTCACAAACACTGGCCAAAATTGGCGTTTTTTTGCATTTTTCACACAAACAAATACTAACGCTAACTTTGGCCAGTGTTTGTGACCAAATGGCTACTAAAAAAGACTGGACATACCCCATTTGCAATACCTTGGGTTGTCTACTATTGCAAATGGTATGCCATTATGGGTGTAAATTTCATTCCTGGCTACTATAAAGTCCCAAAGGCAACGTAACCTATCTGGCGAATTTCAATTTCAAATGTAATGTGCTATATTTGACCCTGTAACTTCCCAAAACGCCATAAAACCTGTACATAGGGTATACTGTTTTACACGTGAGACTTGGCTGAATAAAAACATGTGTATTTTATTGCAGTAAAAGCAAACAGTATTATGACATTGACAGTTAAAATGTCATGTAGAACTAAAAAAAATTAAAAAAAAATCTTATTTTCTCCCATTTTTTTCATATTAAATTATGTTTCACATCTAAATATTTGATATTAAATGAAAGCCCTGTTTCTCCTGAATAAAATGATATATAATAAGGGTGGGTGCATTTACTAAGAAATAGGTGAATTACGGTTGGACCGAAATGTAGCGCAAATGCCAGGTTTTGTTTACATTTTGTTTTGTTCACGTGTACATTTGGCTCCGTACTTAAGGGGTTAATGTAACTGTGAAGCACTTTAGGCAACAACGTTGCAATTAAATGTGCTATATAAATAAAAGTTGAAATGGATTTCTCACTCTATCAATATCAGCATCTTTAGTGGCAGATACCGATATTGCCGAAAATACCGAATATCAGTCAAAACGATAATCGCTCGATCCCTAGTTGTAGACTGCTAGTGGAGGCAAGAACACTTCACACAATTTCCCCAGAAATTGTAGCTTTTCTAGTTTTTATTCTGATTACCTTTTTCTAGATTTTTTATATTTATTTTGATTTTTATATTACTTTTATATTTTTTCATCTATTTCTGTACCCATTTTTTATTGTTTTTATTGTTGCACCTTGATTTTTAGTCTCATCTTTATTTTTTCTTTATATATTGTTACTTTTTCTGCCTTATTCCAGATCCATTTCATCTCCCTAGCTTCCCATTTGCTTCTATTACTAGATCTCCTGGCATGTTTAGGGCTTAGTACCTATAGTTGTTCAAAAGATAGGAAATGCAGAATCCACAGCCGCCAACAACCCATACATCACAATACACAAACTCATAGTCACAAACACACATACTCATACACAGCCCAACAGTCAATACATCACAGCACTCGGTCCTACACTTGATGACTGCTAATACCAGTCACACCATTTTGAGGACAAGTTCAATAGATAAACATAATAGGGGTCCTCCTCACCAGCAGAATTGGAAGGTATTTGTGTCAGGGAACCTGTGGTTCAGGCAGTAGGTGGCCGGATAATGTAACTACGAAAGAAGTAGTTAAACTTCTGGAGCGGGAATCTGTGGGCATTGAGTAGAGGGTGAATTATGCTCAGGCATCCAGTAAGATAGTGGAGAAGGTGGGAGCGACAGAACTGCTGGGATGAAGCCCCCAGAGAATACAGAGGGTCATGACTCCAGGGGGTCTATCTCAGAGACAAAAATTTAACCCACGAGTTGAAAGGTCCTAAACTAGCAAAATGTACAATTAAGATGTATGGGTTTAAACATACTCTCATTGAACATTAAAGGATTAAACTCCCCTCATAAATGGAGACTGGCGCTGTCTGAAGCCAGAAAAAACTGGCACATATTGCCTTTTATCAAGAAATTAGGTTGTCGCTCATTTTAATTCCTCACTCTTCCCTATTTTTCACTCATGTTTCTGGGTTAAAAGACACGTGGTCTCCATTCAAAAACCGCAAGCAAGTTCCTTTCTGGTTAGTACACGAAGTAGGGGATAAAGAAGGCAGATACTGGATTGTACAATGTTACATTAAAGGAACACTATAGTCACCTGAACAACTTTAGCTTAATGAAGCAGTTTTGGTGTATAGAACATGCCCCTGCAGCCTCACTGCTCAATCCTCTGCCATTTAGGAGTTAAATCACTTTGTTTATGAACCCTAGTCACACCTCCCTGCATGTGACTTGCACAGCCTTCCATAAACACTTCCTGCAAAGAGAGCCCTATTTAGGCTTTCTTTATTGCAAGTTCTGTTTATAGCTTGCTAGACCCTGCAAGAGCCTCATCTATGTGATTAAAGTTCAATTTAGAGATTGAGATACAATTATTTAAGGTAAATTACATCTGTTTGAAAGTGAAACCAGTTTTTTTTTTTTTTTCATGCAGGCTCTGTCAATCATAGCTAGGGGAGGTGTGGCTAGGGCTGCATAAACAGAAACAAAGTGATTTAACTCCTAAATGGCAGTGAATTGAGCAGTGAAATTGCAGGGGAATGATCTATACACTAAAACTGCTTTATTTAGCTAAAGCAATTTAGGTGACTATAGTGTTCCTTTAATACTATGCATTTATACCCTTATCAATATTTATGGCTGTCCTGAAAGCTCCAATTTGTCACTCAACTGTTTGCATTGAGTAACAAAATATCAGTTTGGGGAGATGACTATTTACAGGAATATTTCAAGAAAAATGCTACCTCGGAGGTATCGATAAACACAGTGAGGCTTGCCCATATAGCATATATCAGAGAGGTTCATATAAAAGATATAAAATAGCAAGCTATGGTAAGAAGTACTGCCTTAAAGGACCACTATAGTGCCAGGAAAACATACTCGTTTTCCTGGCACTATAGTGCCCTGAGGGTGCCCCCACCCTCAGGGTCCCCCTCCGGCCCGGCTCTGGAAGGGGGAAAGGGGTAAAAACTTGCCTTTTTCCAGCGCTGGGCGGGGAGCTCTCTGCCTCCTCTCCTCCTCCGATCCGCCCCGTCGGCTGGCTGCGCGCGCATTCAGCCGGTCGCATAATGCTTTCCTATGGACGCTTGCGTGCTCTCACTGTGATTTTCACAGTGAGAATCACGCAAGCGCCTCTAGCAGCTGTCAAAGACAGCCACTAGAGGATTTGGAGGAAGGCTTAACCCATTGATAAACATAGCAGTTTCTCTGAAACTTCTATGTTTATAAAAAAATGGGTTAACCCTAGAAGGACCTGGCACCCAGACCACTTCATTAAGCTGAAGTGGTCTGGGTGCCTAGCGTGGTCATTTAAGTTATACACTACTCTGTAGAGTGAAATCAGCCAATTGACTTCTAGTAATAAAAAAACAAACACACACATCCCTAGCCATGCATACTCAGCACTCCAATCTCGACTACAGGGCTGGAACTATCTAAGACAGCCTCCCTGCTAACAAGATGTAAAACAATATTTATGTATGGTAGCAAGATTGCAGTTATTATAGCCTTTAAACTGAAGGAGAGGAGAGCTGCCTCCATGATTACCTTCATGAAATGTCAAAATGTAATACAAAAGTATGAGACCCACATAAAATTGCATATTAATGAACATAAACATATAGCACATTATATAACCTTAGTGCAGACCCACCTAATCCCTAGACTAGCAATCAAGGCTTTTTTGAGATGCTCTACCCTTACTGACAATTATCCCTACAAATATTGCATTATTGCTAAAATCCTCTGATGAAGAAGAGATTATTAAAATACTAAATTGCCAGCAAGCAAATCACTAGGACCAGATGTGGACTCTACCATTTCTATAAAATATTTTCTACAGAATTAACACCATTTTTAATGCAAGTGTTTGCATTGGGCTTTGTCGCCCTCCAGGCAAACATAACCACACTCCCAAAGCCAGGAAAGTCACCTTCTCTTAGCGTTAACTATAGACCTATCTCCTTATTGAACAGAGAAACCAAACTATATGCCAAACTCCTAGCAAATGGGTTATCCCAGATCTTGTCCTCCATTATAAGAAATTACCAGTCAGGATTTGTTCAATCTCATCAAGGGTAGGACAACTCGTGAAAAATACTGAATATTTTGTCTCATATGGACACTATTTAAACAAGGAAACCTTTTCTTAGAGCTAGAAGCAGACAAGAGTCATCAACAGACCTAACTGGGTTTACATGTACTGTGCCTTAACTAAATTCAGATTCCCGGACCCTCTTATCAAAGAAATTATGTTATTATTGCCTTATATAACTCTCCAACAGCTAGAATTCAAAACGCTGGATATTTTTCAATTTTGTTAATATATCAAACGGCATGAGACAAGGATATGTCCTGTCTCCTCTGCTGTTTATACTATGGTTTGAACCCTTGACACAAGCCATAAGACTACAATCTGATCTTTTGGGGATAAATATCAACCAGCAAGTGTGTAAATTGTCATTATTTGTGGATGACATCCTCCTCACTTTAAGGAGGGATGGGCCTATCTAATATTGTTTAGTATCATTGGGAAACCATCGTCCAAGCGGTCTCCACCCATATTCCTCAGGGAACCCTACAGTGGGTGAATATAGAGGGGGACCAACTGTCGACTCAATCGTTACGGAATCTCTTATTGACCACGAGGCACGAGACATGACTAATATACTGTACCCTACTACTATTAAGGTCTGGGATCAGTTCCTCATATCAACAGGGCTGGAGGAACAGTACCTACCAGAAGCACCCTTATCTTCTCTAGTGGTGGTCTCCTCATAGTTTGTCCCAGCGAGAATAGATGGATGTGGGTATCACCAAGTTAAAACCGCTAATATTCCAGGGGAAGGTAATCCCCATTTCCCCAGTTACCAGAACATTATAAATTGCCTTATGGTTATATTTTCCATATCTACAAATTAAGTGTGTAGGGAGTTCCACTGTTACACAGCCATTGATAACGCTATTTCCCCAAAATCATGTTTTAGACTTTTTTGGGACAGCTTTAAAAAATATCACCCACAGACGCCCCCCAAAAAATCATCAATATGTTACAAAACCAGGGTTTATGACTTTATGGAAAGGTGGAACTCAGAATGTGGGTTATACTTATCTGAAAGGGACTGAGTATGGGTCTTAAATTCCCTAAACGGAGTAACAAAATGATACCACTTACTTAGCATCACAGCCAGCCCACATACACTTAAATAGCACCCCACCATATAGACAAATGCAATAAGCAATCCACACACAAACACATTATGCAGGCAACACACACAATATCTCAGACAATCAGCACCACACAAAAATATTACAAGTAAACCACATACACACTTATCACAAACAGCGCACACACAATCTCAAACAGTCCACACACATACACAATACTACAGGCAGCCCACATACCACAAACAGCCACGTACACACAAAGTACCACAGTCCCCACTACACCAAAATACTACAAGTAACTCTCATACACACTTATCAGAGACAGCACACAAAACACATACTTTACACATCAGGAAGCCAGCATACACACACAAAGAAACACAAATGTCACAAACGGTACACTAACACACATAATACCGGGATCCCTAGCACCTCTTCATTGTAAAAAATATCCTTCTGTTAGCTCTCCTGACCTAAGCTGGCAGTACAGGGCTTGGCTCAGGAAAGAAAAAGTAAAAAGAAAATAAAATAGTTATGAAAAACGTGAGGATGTGACGTGGATTGACTAATAATTTTGGACTTGGTCAATAAGTTTTGAGCTATGCACACGTCCATGTTGTAGTCTAAAAATGAACAAATACTTTCCCCTCAGACATTTTTATAATAAAGACAAACATTATAAAATAATATAATAAAATAAGCAGGGACATATATAAATGACATACAACCACAGTCAAACAGCACAGGTTTCATAATACCAGTGTAATGAATGTGGGAAATTTAAATATCTGCATTATTGCGAATTAATGCAAATGTTCAATTTTGAAGGAAATGATAGTCAGAAAAACATCATGTCAAATATGTTTAATCTGTAAAATAACTGATGGCAAAATGAATTATATACATCACATACTGTGTAAACACAATGTTTCTGTACAAAGAAATATACATGCAAAACAAGAAAAAAATAAAAAAATTAAACTAAAATTATGTGACTATAAACCATATGGAAATAACACAAACAATGTAATGAGGTTTGGCATGCTTATACATCCAGTTTTAAAATGTTTCTGTACAGCTTTACAAAATAAAAACAATAAATAGTAAGTGTAAGTACATACAGAGCTAACATCTACTTCTACACTTATAATTTAAAGATCTCATACAGAATAAGGCTTACATCGTTATTTATTTCAGCAATATACTGTATCTAGTTTTAAGGACAGCATTTGTCACCTCCTTATGGAGATAAATGGTATTATGCACCAACATTTTTTTGAAAGGTCAGTTCACACTTACATATTTTTGAAGAATAATTTGATCTAAATTGGCCAATTAAAGTGCCCTCCTGTATATAATCCTGCCATTTCTATGTTGTATAGCTGAAATGTTAGACAGTTTCAGTGGTCTTAAATTCTATGGCTAATATGAAAAAAAAAAAAAATGTAATTTAAAGTACAAGACCCTGAATAAATTTCATCACCATTTACTCTCTTATATTTGAGAGTAAAGTGGTGGCGTGTGCAATATAAGAATATTTTAGTATCAAATGAATTA